CGCATCATCCAGGTGGGGCTGCACACTGGTGGGGGTGGAGGGGATCCCCATTACCTGTAAAGCGCTTTGAGTGGAGTGTCCAGAAAAGCGCTATATAAGTGTAAGCAATTAATTAATTAATTAACATATTCAGTGCTCCGGTTGTCCACATGGGGGCGGTGTTGTCTGTTGAACCGTGTGGCGTCCCGAGAGATCAGGGCGATGATCTCTAGCAGCGCGGCCGTCTGACCCGAGTCGCCGTCTCGGTTTTTTGTTTTTGTTTTTTTCTAGGAAGGGCTACCGCACGGACGCCACCATCTCCGTCCTGCTGGGGTTCCTGCTCTTCCTCATCCCGGCCCGCAATCCCTGCTCCTCGGCTTCGGGAAGCGCCGGGAAAGGTCAGCCTCCCCTCTGTCGATCCTTCCGTCTCGGAGCCAGGAGCCGCGGGATTAACGAGCAGAGAAGCATGTCTGGAATAAACGTTACAAGCAGGGGGGGGGGGCACTTGGCCCAGCTAGCCCTTTGGGTAGTCAATACTTAATTAACCCAAAGCTGTGTCTTGAGAGACGTCGGGGTTTCGGCTTCAACACCATGGCTGGGCAGCTTGTTCCACACCCCCACCGCTCTTTGTGTAAAGAAACCCCAACCCCCCCCCCTCCTGTCCTAACTGGAGGATCTCATCCAGCTGTTTTTTTTTTTTTTTTAAGGAAAGTCAGGGTATCGGCAACAACAACACAGCTGGGCAGCTCGTTCCACACCCCCCCACCACTCTTTGTGTAAAGAACCCCCCCCCTCCTGTCCTGACTGGAGGAGCTCACCCAGCTGTGCCTGGAGAGAAGCCGGGGTATCGGCTTCAACCACAGGGCTGGGCAGCTCGTTCCCCACCCCCACCCCCCTCTGTGTACAGCAGAGCCTCCTGTCCTGACTGGAGGAGCTCACCCAGCTGTGTCTGGAGAGAAGCCAGGGTATCGGCTTCAACCACAGGGCTGGGCAGCTTGTAACCCACCCCCGCCCCCCTCTGTGTAAAGAAGCGCCGGCCTGATGTCGGTTTTAACCGGGGCTTCCTCTGTCCTCCTCCGGTTTCGCGTTTCCCTGTGCGCCCCTGAAGAAACCCGCCGGGCTGACTGGGCCGGGACCTTCTGAGGGTTTTTGAATGCTTGTGTCGGCGTCCCCACACGCAGGACCCAAGGCTTGGGAAGTGCTCATCGGCTCCCTAGCCGGGGGAAGGTTGGGCTCGACCCCTGAGCCACAGTACAAGGGGGCTGGGAACCCCCTGCAGATTGGGGGGTGCACAGGAGGAGGTGGGGGGGGTGGGATGCAGAAAAGCGAACTGGGCACGTAGGGTTTTGGGGAGGTGACGTCATGAGCTGAGGCAGCCGAGGCAGAGGTGCAGTGGGTTGGCGTCTGTCCTCCGGAGGCTCAGCCCTCGCTCTCTCCTGACAGGGGGCAGGCCGGAGGGGGGCGCAGACTCCGACCCCATGGCGCCCATGATAACCTGGAAGGACTTCCAGAAGCTGATGCCCTGGGAGATCGTCAT